GTGTTTCATTCACACTGTTTTCGACCAAGAACGTTTTCTAAAACTCTTTGACCCCCTAATTGTGAGTACCCTACTTTCACGCAATTCACAGGGAAGCAATCGATATTTCATGATCAGGGGTGTAATACTCTGTATAGTAGCGGTCCTTATATATCGTCTTAACAATCGAAATATGGTCGAAAGCAAAAATCTCTATTGGAAGGGTCTTCTTCCTATACCTATGAATTCCGTTGGACCCAGAAATGATACATTGGAAGAATCAGTTGGTTCTTCCAATATCAATAGGTTGATTGTTTCGCTCCTCTACCTTCCAAAAGGAAAAAAGATCTCTGATAGTTGTTTCTTGAATCGGAAAGAGAGTACTTGGGTTCTCCCAATAACTAAAAAGTGTAGCATGCCTGAATCTAACCGGGGTTCGCGGTGGTGGAGGAACTAGATCGGAAAAGGGGGGGGGGATTCTAGCCAACTGAAAGGATCTTCTGATCAATCCAGAGATGATTTGGATTCCATTAGTAATGAGGATTCGGAATATCACACATTGATCAATCAAAGAGAGATTCAACCACTAAAAGAAAGATCGATTCTTTTGGATCCTTCCTTTCGTCAAACGGAAGAAATCGAAGAATTTCTTGGGAATCCTAAAAAATTGGTTCATTCTTTTTTCTCTGATAGATGGTCAGAACTTCATCTGAGTTCGAATGCTACTAAGAGGTCCACTAGAGATCAGAAATTGTTGAAGAAAGAACAAGATCTTTCTTTTGTCCCTTCGAGGCGATTGGAAAATAAAGAACTGGTTAATATATTCAAGATAATTACGTATTTACACAATACTGTCTCAATTCATCCTATTTCATCAGATATGGGGTGTGATAGGGTTCTGAAGGATGAACCGGATATGGAGAGTTCCAATAAGATTTCATTCTTGAACAAAAATCCATTTTTGGATTTATTTCATCTATTCCATGACCGGAAGAGGGGAGGATACACTTTACACCACGATTTTGAATTAGAAGAGAGATTTCAAGAAATGGCAGATCTATTCACTCTATCAATAACCGAGCCGGATCTGCTGTATCATAAGGGATTTGCCTTTTCTATTGAATCCTATGGATTGGATCAAAAAGAATTCTTGAATCAGGCCGGGGATGAATCGAAAAAGAAATCTTTATTGGTTCTACCTCCTATTTTTGATTTTTATGAAGAGAATGAATCTTTTTCTCGAAGGATCAGAACAAAATGGGTCCGGATCTCCTGCGGGAATGATTTGGTGGTATTTGCTATCAACAAGATAATGGAGGCAGTCAATCTATATAGATTGATCCGAAATCTGATTCAAATCCCATTTCAAATCCAATATAGTACCTATGCCTATGATAGTACTTATGAATCCATAAGAGATGCATTGAATCGATCCTTTTTAATGAATGGATCCAATCGCAACTTCGAATATGGAATTCAAATGGATCAAATAGGAAAGGATACTCTGA